AAAAAAAAAAAAAAAAAAACGAGGGCGCTTCACGCAAGGGCTCCCAAAGCTTGATGTTGAACAAAAACGAAGGGGGGAATCTGTTTTGGTCGGTTGGCGCGGGTCGGGCCAATGTTTTTCCTGTTGGGACAGGAATTCACTCACCTGCCGGGCCGCCAGGGTTGGTGTTAAAAGGATTCCAAAACTTAAAAACCTGACAAAAAAACATGAAGCGGCCTGATGTGTGAGCACATGGGCATAAGCGGCGCAGGCTATAGCGCACCAAAACAATACTCGAAAACCATGCTCCTCCAATCGGGCACTTCAACCAAAGCGGCCCCCAAACAATGATGATTCCTCAGCAGTTTCCCGGCTGCAACAGCCACAGTCGTGCACCAAATATTTTTTTTTATGGCGGCCAGACCTCCGCTTGCCAGCCTGTTGCCCTTCTACCACTGAACCACGTGAGAACAAAAAAACTTCCGAGCACGAGCTCGTACCGAAATTTTGGAGTTGGAAATGTGATTGACAGAAATTTCCGAATTCCAACCAGTCGGTGCAAACATCGAGTATGGAAAGCGTCCAACTTGCCAGTCGGGGTGCGTGGGTGCAATACATCACCTGCGAGACGAAACAAACCTCAAAAAATGGGATCTTGCATTTGATTGCCAACAGGGACTGCGTCCACAAAAAACGAACCTGCTGCCACGAGATGAAATGAACCTGTGCCAGCCCCAAACGGCGATTAATATCTGAACCCACGGAACCATCGGCACCTGGCAAGCGACCCAGGTAAGAAATCGAATCATTGCACGTTACCCAACTACAATCCGGTCTCGGCACACGCGCGTAACATCTCACAGGCATGACTTCGAGCTTGCGCCCTTTCATTTTCAGCCTTCTTTCATTCGACCGGATCGAGGACTCGCTCCAACGGCGGGCCCCCGGCGGCCCCAATCAGGGTTGTGGGCCACGCTTGCCTTTCAGCCCATAATCAGCACCAGCATTTGCAATGCACTGCATTTATTCTGTTGTTTCTATTTTTTTCTCAGACTTCTGCACCTGCACAGGTCTACCGGTCTACCGCTAACCTACGCCGATTCAGCCTCCTTGGCGGGCTGGCACGCAGCTGGCCATCGGCCACAAACATTCCCGCCCAGCGGTGGCTTGCCGCCTGACGCCGTCGCCCGGAGTCGCACCGGGGCTGCGCGAGCCTTCGAGGCCGGCGGAGGAAGTCCGCCAGCTCGGCGCCGAAACGGCCGCCAACCTCCACTACGAGGACGACCAGGCGGCAACGTCGGGCCGCCAGGAGAGCTGGGTAAGTGGTTTGTCGCTTTCGTCGCCCCGCATCAACCGCGGCCTTGCCGGGGACGCGGTCGGGCCCCGCGCGTGCAGAGCCATGCCTCGACACAGGGCTCACGAAGGTCGTGTCGACCGCAACTTGGGCACCCTGCCATAGCGGTAGCCCATTGGCGAGGATCTCAATGCGGCGGGAGTCCGCCAGCGGGACATCGACGTTCATGTCACGAAACGTCGCCACCCAGGCCCCGCCTTCCCGATATGTTTTTTGGTTTTTTCTCCGGCTCTCTCCGACTGCGTGAGCGCGCCATCGGTGCACAACAATCCATTGACCAAAATTTGGAGCGAACGAGCATGTGCAGCATTCCTGTTCCATAAACGCATCGGAAAACAGCACCGTCATGGCAAAAAAAAATGATACCCCACATCCCTGTGAAATGCTGAACGCTTGTTCACGAATCTTGAAAATTTGGATTGATAGTCCGCGTCATGGACAAGAGAATGTCGGCTGCAATAGATTTGACGTCCATCCGACCAATGGACGGAAGTAGCCCATACCTAATCAGACAAGGAATGCACCAAGCCGTCCAAGGGATAAGCTGTCAAAGGCTTTGGCCCAACCGGCTGCACATTCTGCGAAACCCAAAGGCGTTTGGCCACGCAGCTCACGTCAACCGCACCACGATGTGAGTAGCAAACAAACACACGTTCCATGCTGCACGCGTGTTCCGCGCCTTCCCACGTGTCGCAGCAGTTTGCGCCGTTTTGCGCTCCCATGCGCTCCCCTCGCCCCAGGGGCTGCAAAGCTTAACGTGCAGTTTCGAAAAACACCACGCAGCAACTTGCGCCAGCCAAAAAAACACCCATACTGTGGACATCACAGTGGGCCGTTGCGTGGCTGCCCAGGAGCCGTTGACCAGGTTGCCTGGAATACGTCACGGCCAACATCTAATGGCTGTTCCCTCCAAACAACAACCGTGAGCATCGTACTCACGAAAAAACGCAACAATAAGAACGAAAGCATCCGTTGTTGTTTGGAGTGATGTGGGAATGCAAGCAAACGGTCCCGCGGTGATTTAGTGCAACACTCGGCGTCGCAGTCGAAGTAAAAATAGCAATTGCACGTGAAGGACCAACAACGGAAGCCACGTGTGGAATTCGGGAGTTTGCAGCGGTCTGTGTTGGCAAAACCAGCCAGCCTATCAGCTTGGGCAGCAAGCAAAATTGATTCATTCCGCGCCTGGTTACGTGTGCGGTTGTTTATCCAATCCCTGCTTTCCAATGACAATGGCAACTTGAATCTCTGCGATCGGGGGCCCCCCCCCCTTCCGCCGAAAGCAAGACGGGCATCGTCCAAGCGCCAAGGACCGTGCTACGCCCGGTCTTGCGCTGCGACTCCGCGCAACACAGCCGGACTTGGGGACCATGCCCTGGCTTGCCCGCGCATCGGCCTACTGGCACGACACAGGTTCGATTTGGAGCGGGTTTGAGTTCGAGTGGTTTGGGAGGCGATCGGGCCTGAGGGCCATTACCATAGCTCCCGGGGTCACGGCCGAAGACCGCCGCATATTGGACTACGTCACTAACAGCAGCGGTGCGGGATCAAGCCCTTTGCTGTGATGCCATCTCGGTGTCACCCGGCAGAACTACCGTCTAAGTTTGCCTGAGCACCGAAGCAAATTGGGCGGCTGTTCGTGCTGGCTGCTGCTGGGAACGGGGAACACTGCAATGACAGTTCCCAAGCTGTTTACAACGGCAAAGCAGCATGGCGCGCCTTTACCAACGCAACGGCTACATGTGACAGGCATGTAGCAATTGCATCAAATCTGGGGCGAACGTCCCAGCAGCATCGGTGGGGATGGCTACGAACCATGCTCTTGCGTCTGCCAACCTGGGATTGCAGCAAGGCGTGCAAATAAAACCTGCTGCCGGCATCAAGACCTGCTCCCGGAAAGAAGTTCGGAGCGCGAGAGCCTTGCCATCCCTTGCCTCACATTCGCCCAGACGCCCGGCTCGCCAGATGTTGCTGACAACGGCACTGGCTGCAGGCATGGACGGCAATTCCTGCGGGCAGCACGCGGCAGCTTCTGGGCAATGCTGGTGCAGGACAGGGGTGCATTCGCTCATGCCGCCCAGTACGTTCTGGCGAACGATTTCCTGCATGCCGCAATCCAGGGCCTCTGAGGGGGGCGGGGGGAACGCGATGTTGCAGGCATGCCTCCGCAACTGCTTATCCTCCCCTGCCTGTCCTCCTAACATGTCCTGCAATGTTTGCGGCACCCCGTCATCCGGTGCTCGCTCGCACATGTTGCACGATTGCGGCCGGAAGCATGCTGCAGAAAAGGCGTGGAACACGGGAAGCCGCACTGAACAAGGACAACACCAGGCACACTTCAGGTCAGGCGGGAATGGGAGCTGAGCCAGCATTCGGCGCTCTTCCGCCGGGCGGTCGTTGGTACACGACCAGGTGAAGTCCTGGTGAACGATGGAACGCCCATGGCGATAAAAGCAGGTTAAGATAGCGTATGCCCGGTGGGGCAAGACATCTTCGGGAGTTGTACCCGCGTGTCTTGCCCAAGAGTTGGCCGCAAACCCGAACAATGCCAAGGCGGTGGAATCGCACTGTTCCATGCTTTCGGCACGAACTATCTCGTGGCAGCGTCTGGCGTCGTCCCACCAAGAAACGCAATGAAACACGCGCAATAGAGCAATAGGACGCTGAACCTCAGGTATATAACCCCATATTCTTTTTTTTCTTTCCGAATCTTGGAGTGGGGTCTGCTAAGCATACGGTGGGAACATTATATTGGGGTAATATTACGATACTGGAAAAGAAAATGGAAACTACAGGGATTATAGGGCTTATATAGGGGTTACATGGGGATTATAGGGTTTACATTGGGTTTCTATTGGGATAATGGAAAAACAAATGGAAACTACTATAGTATAATATGGTAGATATTGGATTAATAATGAAGTCCAACAAATTTTAACACGAGTTTTCCCAGTTCAAGGCAGGCAGGACCAGGTCTTGCCGCGTTCTGCAAGGTTGCTGGCGACTGCCGTTTTGATCCACGATTGCTGCTGCATTTTGATTCCTACCGATGTCTCGCAAAGCACCTTTTTTTCATGAACCATGTGTTGGCTTTGGTCAAAGAAGGATACAATGCAAGTTTCTGATGTGCATGAAACTGCAACCGCGCAATTGAACGTGAAATGGCTTCCTGTGGCAAGGGCAGGCGTATATTATTCTATAGTAGTTTCCATTTTATTCTCCATTATCCCAATATAACCCTATATAAACCCTATAATCCCTATGTAACCCCTATATAATCCCTATAATCCCTGTAGTTTCCATTTGCTTTTCCAGTATCCTAATATTACCCCACTATAGGATTCACCACGTGATTCATTGCCTGTACGGCATGCTGCAACAAGCTGCACACAACGCTGAACAACAGGATTACAAGTACAATGACAAACTACACATGCAACCTCAATCCGAAAACCAAAACACATGAATCCATGTCTGGACGACATGAAAATCTTGAAGACACACCCCCGCTGAGTATCATGATTGCGCGAAGCCACTAAACCATGGGCTCTACAGCTTCTGTGAACCATTTTCCTTCTGACCACCACTATCATGACATGGGGGCTTCCCAAAATTGAGGGTCCTTTTTGGGGGAAGGATTACAGTATATTGGGGTCCATATTTGGGCCCCCTCATTTATGGAAACTATCACATCCAAGCCACGGCCGCGTCCGCTGTCCGCAGAAACCACCGCCTTCGGTGCGGACGAGACCGCGCCAAGCAGCTCCATCTCAGAAAGTACAGCTTGCGTTTCCGAAAATTATGGATAATTTTTTCGTGGTCCCTGACTACGGATTAAATGGATTATAGTAGTTTGGGGTCTATCTCGAAAAAAAATCAAGCGACAAAGAGTGTTGGAGGCCCCGGTGAATTCCCGAATTATGATCACAGTGTCTGCCAAATGCCATGCAGGATTGAATCGTTACGTTTCTCGGATCGAACACATAGTTTGCCACGTCGCTTCCAGGGAAAAATGAAATATGTTTTTTGGGGTTATGGAGTTGTGGCTCGCATTTAAGGATTGGGGCTGTTAGCATGCTTGAAACGAACATTGCAATGCGCATGGCATGCTGCAATATCATGAACTCTAGAATACGTTTTGAAGGGCTATGGCAAATTTCCCCCAAAAAGCCCCCTTGCAATCGTAAACCCTACCACTGTGTTCTTATTCAAGAGGAAACCCCAATTTGGCCCTGAAATGGCAAAGATGCGGCCACCGCTAAAACACCAAAACCGTCTAACTTACTGGTGGTTAGTGAGGAACGGAAAGTAGAAGCTACCATCTTATCAAATGTTCAGGGTTTTGGGTGATCAGCAAGGAAGGGACTGGTTCCTTCGCAAGTCCATACACTCCCTCATGTCCCACCCCGTATTCCTATATTCCATATGCACTGCCAGTAAACAAAATCAACCTCCCGGATTGTATATATAGTCCCCCTTAAGTAGATAGAATATGGCTTTGGGTATATTACAATAATGTTCCCATATACTCAATATTCTATCTACTTAAGGGGGACTGTATGCCCCTCAGTTTATTTCAAGGTTTGTTGGGGTTTCGGGCCACTGTTCATCAAGTTACATCAGCACCCACATACATTAGGCGTTCTGCAACCCACGCTCAGAAAGAAGTGTTTAGGGTTTAGGGTTTAGGGTGCCCACGTCAGAAAATGTGCAGTAAGAATGAGTGGGCTATCTGTCGCAAAATAAACAATGGCCATGCGTAACTCAACCACGAATCCACCACCTGATATGGTAGTTTCCCAAAATAGGGGGGACCCCAATGTAGACCCCAAAATACTATAATCCTTATGATAGGGACCCCCAAAAGGGTCCCCTAATTTTAGGAAACCCCCATATAAATCCAGCCCTTTGCCAGGGCTTCTTCAAAACAATGGCACGCGTAAGACCGCTACGGGTGTGCAGGGGAGATCCCCGACCTATAGAGCTTATAACAAGGTCCCCATTACGGACTTGGCGGGGGCTCTTTGGGAGTCTTTGAACATATCTGGCCTCAAACAAAAACTGTCGATTTTCGGAAATTAGAAATCCTCATAATGAGGGTTTTTTGTAAGACAGCAAGTTTGGATTCTCCTGGAAAACCCTACAGGCTCGTTGTTCACAAGGCTGAGTCCGCCACTTGAATCGGGAGAGAGGGAAGATTTGCTCACGCCTGGGCGATTTCGGGATCAAGAATTGCAGGTTTAGTTAGGGTTTAAGGTTTAGGGTTCAGGGCTGCTTCGACGCACATTTCGATAGGTTGCCTTACAGCGAAACACGATCGCACATCGTATGTGCAGATGGTGAGAACTTAATTTGACGCCCTTACATTGTTAAATAACCCACTTTTCACTTCCATTTGTCCATGTTCTTTGCCATTTGACTTTCCAGACCCTATCATCCCTAAATAACCCATAGTAGTAGTTTCCATTTAATTTTTCATTATCCCCATATAACCCCAATATACTATAGTAGTCCCATTTTCTTGCTATTTGACTTTCCAGATGTCCTGATTCACAGCAGGGCTCGGAGTTCAAATTCTCCAAGCTGTGGCCTGCTCATGGGGGCTTATAAGGGTATAATATGGGGGTATATAGGGATAATGGAAACTAAAATGGAAACTACTATTTAGGGTTTAAGGTGCCTTGCGTTACCGCAAACATGCATTGATGCCAGCATGTGGATCACTTGTACAATTCCGCCACCACCTTACAGCGGGATAGCAAAGAACAAGGGACTATATTCCCATGTAGTATATTCCCTTGTTCCTTACTAAGCCCTAGGCAATACTAAGCCACATGAACGCACCATAACTGCTGAATCTCCTGATGAGGGAAACCTGCCCCGGGCATTCATCAAGCGAGGTTGGCCCTGCCCGGTGCGATGAAAAAGAAAATGGGGGACTACTATAGTATATTGGGTTTAGGGTTTAGGGTTTAGGGTCAAATAGCAAGAAAATGGGACTACTATAGTATATGGGGGTTATATGGGGATAATGGAAAATTAAATGGAAACTACTACTATGGGTTATATAGGGATTATTCCACCAAACAACATTCGTGTATGGGACTCTTTTGAAAACAGATTAGGATTTTTTTTGTGTATCCCTGAAGCCACCCCTCATTTTCCAGAAACCGCCCGAAACAAAGCAGGCGTACACTTCACAAGGCTGGTATCATCCAGTCTGATGGCATGTTTGCAGGCCAAGCGACCACCCATGATCACATCATCAATCCGCTCAAACTGATCAAGCGCTGCGCAGCCGCTGTCAGAAAACCTGCCCCATTCAGAAAAGCATCCCCACGGAAGTGTTCGATGTCGTCACAATGGGAATAGTTAATATTCAGCGGTTAAAGTTGAAAACGCCTTCTGCAAAAGGGCAGGATTGCACGAGAAGCTTGCGTGGCACAAACAAGCACACAATGCAGGGCGCCTGAACAACGGTACGTGTAATGAACCGGAACCATCTTCGGCTGCTTCTCCGACGGCCTAGCACACATCACAAAATCAACATCAAATTCGGCTGCATGAGCATTGTCCGTAATCAGTGAATCACTGAATTGTGTTGTTTCCGTGGTTGTTGTTGCCCCAAAAAGTGGCGAAACCGCTTCGGAAGAATCATCAAAGGTATGCATTAGGCGCGATGAAATTGCAAGGCTTAAACCCTCAACCCTGCAGACCCTAAAGCCTAGCCACACTTGGGTGTAGTTTATAGTAAATTTATAGTATATCATAATATATTATGGTCTATTATAGTATACTATAATATATATATATATCATAATATATTATAATACAAGAATATATTATAAAAAAAAACACTTTAATATACTGTAGACCTCCTAAATCTTAAAATCCAGGTGGCAGCCTTCAGCGGCCACAAGTTGGGATTGGGTGTGCGAAGTTGCGGTCTGCGAGGTGAAGCCTGGGCGTCCGGATTTATAAAGGTTACCAGGGGATGTATGGGGCTTAAACATGTAAGAAATTATGGGGTTTTGGATCAAAGCGTTGATACTGAAAGTCAAGACCGAAATAGACTAGAATACCACGGCTTCCAAAATTTCAGGGTTAGGCAAGATGATTCATGTTGATTTGAATATTCTTACCAAGACTAACAACAAACCTTGAACGGGAGCATAGACGGCCACATTTTCAAAAAGTGGACAAAGTAATTGTGTTTTGAAAACAACACCACGCTCGCCTTTGATACGCACATATTTTAATAACACACCAAAACAACAGTAAGGGACTTTGACCTCTTGTCTGAAACCTTCCGAAATGTGTCGAATTGACTGGTAAGGCCCACTGTCATCAGAATGACAACAAGCACGCCTACAAGTTGCGCATGCGCAACATGCAAGTACACCAAACAGCCTGTTTCGTATGGCAACGCGCTACGTGGAGAAACCGGCCATTTAAGTCAAAGCAGCATCGACGACATGAAATGCATCGGCTCGCTGAACTAGCACCAGCACAAAGCTCACCGGGCCCCACCACGCCATGGCATGCACACGACCAACTTTATGCAATCCTGAAACAAGAAGATGTTGGTGCAAGGAAATAGAATGTCTTGCCTCATCGCAACAATCGTTCTTGAAGAGCGGGATAACCAACGACATCTCACAATAAGAACACTTCATGGACCCAAACGACATGTGGGGATGGAAGCGGGGTGAAAATACATTTTGGAAAAGTGGGGAAACATCTGTGCTCCAAGAAGAATTGTTGCGGGAATATGAGCTGTCCAACTTTGACCCTAAAGCCGCCCTCTTTTTGCAAATTATTGGGCAATTCTGGGCCTCTGAAGAACCCCAAATGAAAGCCTAGCCTTGCAAAACATGCCATGCTTGAAAAACTTGAACCTGAAACCCGAATTGCTGTCATTATCACCTTGCTCGCAGGACCTGATGTTGAGGTTTGGACCTATGGTTCGCCAAGGTTATGTGGGGCCATCCAGTCCTTTGATCAGTCTACCTTTTTTTTGTTCGCATCGGGTACTCTGAAGTCTGCTCTTTCCACTTGAGAGGCTCTGAAAGGGACCATTACACAACTGACACCAACGACGAAAATCCGCAAAACTGAATGAGAACGTCCCAGAAAAAGAGCAAGAGACAGGGAGTGAGGGAGAGAGAAAGCGCAAGGGAAAGACTGAGGGAGTTAGACTGGTACAAGTACCTCAGGTTGCGAGTTGAGCACATTACTAGATTGCGTGCATCAAAAGATTCGTCAAATGTCTCAGTTCATTTTATCAGCACCAAAGCCTTGAAAGTCAGTCATGACGCGCAAGGGACTGTGCTGCGGGGGATACAGCTTCAGCGCTGAATGCTTGTGGGGTGAACAATCCGCGGCTTCTGCCGGGAAACGGGTGTTGTGCAGTCCGTAGAATCATTATCGCACAAGGAGGCGACCGTGAGTCACTCTCCTGAAAATGGGCACCCAAATTTCAACTATGGAGTACTCATTAAGATGAGCTCAGGCGCATTTTTTTGAAAATTCCAGAGAACTCGGAAACTGCAAAATTGCGAGCCGTCTGTCTGATTGAAGTGCTTGACGATCAGGATTACAGTAGGAGCATCGACCTACTTTGGTACAGGACTTGACAGGCATGACTCAATTGATCCTCTTGCTGTCGTAGACAGCAGACAGCAGGGCGTACACAGCAGAGAGCGCTGGCTCTCCACTCTCCAAATCGCAGAGCTCGCAGCAAGGTAGAAAGCATGTGTGCGCATCCACTGCTGCTGTTGTCCCACTAATTCCCACTAAAGTACACAGTAAGAATCTCAACAACCTCGAGATGCCTTCACCTGGCACCTGCCTTTGCTGCCTGCTTGCCTACCAGGAGGGTTGGGAACAGGGGCTTCCATTTGCTCCCAAAGTCTTCAGTTGCACTGCCTCGAGCGCCCTGGCAGGCAACTGCAGCATGGAAGGGCTCATTTACACCTGGGCACAGGCATCGAGGCTACCTGACAGCGGCGAAAGGATGTGGGCGACCTGCTAAGGTCTCTGACACCATGTCAGTCTTCACCCCCACAAGGATTCAAAGCGGAATGTGACAACTTGTAGCACGT